CCCTTTATTTTTGACATTTGCAGTAAGTTTCATAACTACATTAGCAGTAGTAATTTAAATTTAATGCTATTTCACTGATTCCATCTTTTACTACATTTTCTTTTAGAAATCTTCCCGATTTCTAAATTATTCATTATGATTAATTTCTTGGTTCACTGGAGCACTTATTCAGTAATTTTTTCAGGAAAGGTACACTAACAGTATGTTTTCTGAAGCCTTGTGCAATGGAGATTGTTTTTCCTCTGTTCTCCCATATGAAGGCTAATGTGGCTGGGGTTACAATTCTGGGAACACAATAGTTTGTCTCCTGAGATTAAGTGGACAATGTCTCATTGTTTTCTACCCGTGTTTATTTTAAAGAGGCAAATTTTGATGTCAACTAGACTATTTTCTTTTACAATTGATCTGTTTCATTGCAATGAGACATTGAATTCAATGATTTAATTCAATCATTGAATTAAGAACTTTTGCCCTGATGTAGCTAGTCATTTTAATTATTTCAACTCTAAAATTCAAGTTTTTCCTCCACTTAAAAATTTTTCTTTTTTACTATTTCTTTGATTGTTACTTCCCTCCACCTATTATGTCCTCTCCTCAAGGCATTTCAGTTATATCATATCAGCTCACCTAGTCCATGTCCCAGTTCATGTTTTTCATCTCCAAGAAATATTTTTGACTTTCAGACACTTCCCTTTTCATGACTGCCTGTTTTTGCATCATTAATACAATGTACTGTTACTGAAAACACGAATGAGAGATTATCTGGGTGTTCTCCTTCCTCCTATGACTTGAAGGGCAATATTGCCCTGGTTTATTAACATGCCTGCTGCTTTTTGAGCTACTGCTGTTTCTCCCATATTCAGTGACTTTCCTCCATTTGCCCATTCTTTAATGGGACAGCTGTGTTTGCCCAGCATTGAGAGTTCAGGCAGATTCTGCCACAGAGAATACTGGTCCCTGCTCAAATATTTCAGGCTCAAGACAAATAGAAAAGAAGAGGATTTAGAGATTTTACAAGATTAGAAATCTGCCTGCCCCCAGAGAAATTGGAGGAAGCCGAGCCCTAGGCAATTACTTTCAGGATCCTCATCCCTGTGCCAGTGGTTCTTTTCTATGTGTGTCTGGTAGCCAGAAAGTTAAATGAGGCTCCTACTCACCCTCTCTAACTGTCATGCTGCCTTTAGAAGGAGCCTGCACAACTTAACTTGTCATCTGTGCCAATTATAAACCCTAAATGAGTACTGTGAGGGGGCCAGTTTCTTCATCTATAAGCATGGGGAAGGAGAATGCTAGTACTTACCTCACACTGGTGTTGTGAGGATTGTATAAAGGTCACACACACACACACACACACACACACACACACACACACACGTACCTGTCACAACTCCGTGCCCCTGATGGGTAAGTTGGATGCTGTATCCACTGCATCTTCTTTTTACCCACACGTGGGCTCTCCCCCCACACACAGCAATTTCAAAGCTGGACAGCACTTCCCTCAGTCTGGATTCATTGTCTTTTCCAATTGTATTATTTTGCTCTTCTCAAAGGGAATTTGGAGGAGGGAGTAAGTTTTTACCCCATTCTGCAGTATTTGGCACAAAGTGAGTTCTTAATTTAGGTTTGTTGAATAAAAGACTATCCATAGCACTAACTCCCCTCTCAATTCTAAAACTTTCTTGTTTATATGTGTGAGGCAGTGACCTAATGTCACCTCTAGAATGTCAAGGCTTACTGAAAACAGTTTTATCACAGTTGGCAGCAGCTGACACCAATCAAAGTCCAATTAGTCGATGAGAATGTCAGAGAAATGATTTTAGACTCCTTTAGGGCTGGGAGTTGGAAAGGCAATCGGTCAGTTGTGTTAGACAAGAAGCTTAGAAATTTACTGAAGAGTTTTTAAAAGAGTTGGAACACCTAAATGAACATATCCTAATCAAAGATAGACTGAGCAGCTGAAATCTGTTCAAAGGCATTTTGAGCTTCAGCACTGAGCTAATTTTAATCCCCATGTTTAGATAAGAGAGAAATAAGCAGGTCACTTTGGTACATTTAGAACTTCTATGTGAGGTTTGAGACTTGAGAACAAGGAGGTGGAATACTGAGTCTCACACCAAGATTGCAGAGGCCCAAATAGCTTTCTACATCATCAGACCAATACTCCTTTGCAGGTTCTGGAATAAACTCAAAAGAATATTGAATTTGGAAAATATAATGGAAATCATTTTGGAGCCACCAAATTAATCCTTCTTGAATAATTAAAAACATGGTTTGTCCTAGGTCAAAACAAATCTCAAAATGCTAAGAGTCAGACCATATAAACAAGCTAACAGGATCTGTGGTACAAAAAAATAAATAAAAATAAGTATTCAGACTTTTTATGAGGTTCCGGCCCAATGGATTTAGTTATATGTGGTACGAAGAGAAATTGGTCAGATAAGATCAAAGCCATGGTTGTTCGTGACAATTTATTTAGCAATGCCTAAAAGGAGGCTGCATCCCAAAGAAAATGGAGCTACCCCCACCCACTCTAAAAAGAGCATCAAACTCTTTTATGTTAAGCCACTGAAACTTTTGGTTTTATTTATTACTGCAGTATAGTCTAGCTGTTTCAGTTAGCTTTCACTAAATTATGTTGTCAAAGCAAACAACCACAAAATATCAGTGACTTAGAACACCATTGGATGTTCTCATATTAGATGTGGTTATGGATTGACTGTCTCTGCTTTATGTGTCTTCATTCCAGGCTTCAGGGTAAAGAAGCAGCCTTATTTGATGTGCTGTTGTTCTCATGGCAGAGGCAATAAAGTTAGTGGAACCACATGAAGACTTTTAAACTTCCTGTTCAGAACTGGCACACAACACTTCTGTCCCCATTTCATTGCTCAAAGCAAGTCACATGGCCAAGCATTACTACTGGGGCAGAGCACTATGATCCCTTCACAGGGAAGGACAGCAAATAATGGGGAAGAATAATACAATCTACCACATTATCTCACCCTGGCTAATACACATTTTGCGAATGAAAATGGTGAGCTGTCACCAAATAACAAAGCAAAAACAAACTAAAAAAATAAACTGTAATATATGACATTGTCCTAACAGAGAAGTGTTGAGAAGACTGGTATCTGAAGTTGGAGAGATAGCGATCCATGTAGTATATTTGGTGAAACCATCTCCTGAGGTAATATGGGAAGCAGATCATGTGTCTCTTGAGCAGGCATCTTTGGAGGGAGAGATAGAAAAACTGAAATTTAATTTTATGTTTTGTCGTTATTGGCTGCATTTGGCAATATTACAAAACAAATAATAATACTTCAGGAAAAACTTGGGCAATTTCAAGCAGAAATGAAGTGAGAAGATAGTGTAGAAATGTAGGGTCTTGCAAGACCAGAAGAACCGACAGCTTCCAGACCCCAAACAGAGATGAGATGTAAAACTAACCTTAATTGACAAACAAACTGAAAAAGAACTTTGGTCTTTGCAGCAGAACTTCCTACTCACCCTGGAACATCTATCTCTGTAACTCGGAATTAACACATGAAAGATATAAACTTTTATGTTATTTCAGTTAGTTCAGTTTTTGGGGTCTCTTTGTTACAGCAGCTTAGCTGATACCCTGACTATAACACAACCATAAAATCACTCTGCATAACGCTGCTCCCAAGATTGAGCTTGAGGCCAGAACAATTGTCCAACTTCACCCTGGAACATCTATCTCTGTAACTTGGAATTAACACATGAAAGATATAAACTTTTATGTTATTTCAGTTAGTTCAGTTTTTGGGGTCTCTTTGTTACAGCAGCTTAGCTGATACCCTGACTATAACACAACCATAAAATCACTCTGCATACCGCTGCTCCCAAGATTGAGCTGGAGGCCAGAACAATTGTCCAACTTTGTGTGACACCTAACCTAACCTTAAGTAACCTCTCGTTCATTCAGTCTTCATAATTATCAAAAGAGAGGATCTAACCTAATTTGTTTTCTTTCTATTACTCTTAGAGGAATATCAAAGAATTCAAAAGGCTGCAGGAAATTATAACTTGGTACAGAATTTACATTGAATTTAAAGAAAAGTGAAGATGCAAGGTCAAATCTAGGTACTGACATTCTTCCCAATTCAGTTCAGTCCTTCAAACATTTATTGCAAACCAGAGAGATTGAGAGATATGCAGTTTTGGCCCACAAGAAATTACTATTAAAGGAAACTTATCAACATGAATAAAGTCATGATACAGTACAGTAAATACTACAGCAGAGGAAAAAAAGCATGGGGTGCTGTGGGAGCACAGATGTGAGATACCTATCTCGGTTGGAGGCAAGGGCTCAGGGAAGGTTTTGCAGAAGAGGAGAAGCCTTAGCAGAGTCTTAAAGAAAAAAGTGAAGAATTATCCTTACAAAGAGAGGGGCGATGGGAATAGTGTTCTAGGCAGAGAGTGCTGTGGGAACTAAGTCAAGTAGGTGAAGGAGACATTTTTGTGCCTATTCTAGTTGAGTATTTTTCCAGATCTGTCTCTTTTAAGTACCAGGCTACTGGGAATCTGGAAGCTACCTATTGTGATTGCCTTCGTTTTGTTCGGGAACAATTTCAGATGACCAGCCTTAGAGAGTATCCTTAGATATACTTGGTTATAAGTGTAAAGTCATAAGAGCTTAATATTATTTCTCTCATTTGTTGGTTGACAATTCTTCCTGGTGTTTCTGCATGTCCTGTCTCAGCTTTTGTTATAGACTATCTTTTCAAGGATGTTTATATAACAGTCAGTCTTCGAAGATAGAGATAGTATCTCCCTCCAGAACAGAAAGCATGTTTGTTTTCTGATCTAAAGTGATAAAGATAATGTTTCCTCCAGACATTATCCCAAAGCTGGGCTGAGGTTTACTAGCACTAGGGACACCCTTTCAAAGATAGGCATTTCCTCAGCCGATGTGCAAACCAACTGTGTGCACATCACCTATATCTCCTATGGGACTTGGGTGCAAGGGGAACCAATTCAAACATGAAGTTCCTGCAGCCTACTAAGCCATCAGTAATAAAGTTCTTTGTCTCTGACCCAGAGAGAGGTCTCGTGTATTCTGCCAGCACCTATGCAATTGTGGCAGTTATGGTTGGCTTACAAGTGAATAAAATCTCAGACTCCTCATAGTTATTGAAATTCCAGAAATAGTTTCATTTTGGGTCTGAAAATATTCCCTTAAACCAAGGCATGAATTTCTAACACAGAATTTCAGATGTTAGCAACAGATTAAAAAATATTTTTAAGCAAAGGAGTCTTCCATCATCATCACCTTGTCTAGCTATGTGTTAGGACAGCCCTGGCTGAGTGCTTTGGTAGTGGGTCCCCCACTGAATGAAGGAGTAGGAAAATCAGGGTGAGTGGAGCCTTCAGAAGGAGATTACTGATGCTTCTCAATGAATTGCAAAAAACAAAAATAAAAAATAATAAATAAATAGATAGATAGATAGATAGATAGATAGATAGATAGATAGATAGATAGATAAATAAATAAATAAATACTGTGGAAGACTGGCAATGATTTGTGTGTGTGCTAATACCTTTTATATTGTTGAATGCGTTGTGTCATGTTCTAGAGTGTGGATCGACAGTTAGATCAACTGTATGGGAAACCATACATGCCAAACTCCCTGCCTTTTGAATTATAGGGGTTCTGCCATCTCCTAGGGACTGTTCCTGGTCATATAATCAAAGCTATCTCAGCACTACAGTGTCCATTTCCAGCATGTGGGAAAGGAGAGAGATAGCATATGGAAGGCAAGCAAATCTCTTTAAGGAAAGTGGCATGGAAGTTGCATACTTCCCTTCTACTCATCTTTTCTTGAGAGAACTTGGTCAAATGATCATTCCTAGCTGCAAGGGGAGCTGAGAAACATTGCCTTTGGCTGGTTACCTCTATGTGCCCTGCTAAAATTTAGTGGGGTTGAGTGGGGTTCAATCACTACGGAAAGAAGGAAAAAAAACCCCCTGAAAGGCAGGTTTTTTTCTGTGAAAGTCTCTTTCACAGACTGAAAATATGATGACCCACTGTCCTATGCTTCTTTGCAATAAATCCAAATATCAAAGGTAATCTATATGAGTCAGTTCCTTAAAAAGCCTGACCAATACATGCGTAGGCCTTCTATGAGTGCTTCTTAATTAACCTGGTGGGATAAAAGAGTGTTTTCTTTTTATTTGTGCAGTGACTACAACAGCACCTGTGAATGCCCACAGTAAATCCAGAGTTGATGTCCACATGAAAACAAAACTCTCTTGTGTGCCTGGACAACTGGACTTACTCAGTGGAGAGAAGTCAATATCACTCACACTAAAGAGTAACAGACCTTTCTCTCTCATCGCATTGCTATAAATTAAACACCAGTAGTGGTGGAGGTGATGGGGAAGGTGGGACTTATACTCCCTGTCGCTCTGCATGAGCCTGCTTGGGAGAAAGACACTAGGGGAATATGAAAGAGGGTGGAAATCTTTTTTCCCTGGTCGCAGGTTGTTTTAGAATAAAGAAGAGAAACAACATCCAGGTAAGACTGGTCTGTTTTCTTAGCGGATTACCTAAATAATTCAGCAACATATTTTCTTGCTTGATGCAGGGGATGCAGTTAAAAAGGTGCCAACCAGCATTTTATTTTATATTTCTAAGATTTTTTGGAAATAAATTACCAAATTGGTTTGGATTGCAAGAGCAATCGAAATAAAAGTTAAAAAAAAAAAAAAACGAAAGAAAGAACAAGCCCTCCATCAGTATTTATGCTTGTTAAGTAAAAACACTTTCAACTAAATAAAAACTAAGTTGGGAGGCTAGTGTCATCAGCACAATCTCTCATTAGCAGCTGATAGCCTGAGGGAAAGATACCTCTAACAACTTAACCCTTCCATAGTCATTACATGTGCCACTAGAATCTGAAATAAGCTACATTTGCAGTGTACTTACATTACTTTAGGCTGTTGACTGTTTTCACTCTGTGCTGTCAGTTCTATAATGGCTCTCCCTCATGCACTTGCCTTATGTCACACATTCTCAGGCTATGTATATTTCTCTTTCTTCTGGATCCTCTACATTATGGCTAGAAGAAACCTTCAAAAATACAAATCTTATCATGTCACTCCCGTACTTAATTCCCTTCAGGGACTTCTCATGGCTCAGATCAGTGGCTCTCAACGGATTTCCCACAGGTCAACCGCCTACTCAACCTGTATCTGCGGGCCTCCTACACCTACCTCTTTCTGGGCTTCTATTTCGACCATGACGATGTGGCCCTGGAAGGCATGGGTCACTTTTGCAAGTTGGCTGAAGAGAAACGCGAGGGCGCCCAGTGTCTCTTGAAGATGCAAAGCCAGTGTGGCGGCCACGCCGTTTTCCAGGACCTGCAGAAGCCTTCTCAAGACGAGTGGGGTAAACCTCAGGATGCCACGGAAGCCGCCACGGTCATGGAGAAGAATCTGAACCAGGCCTTTTTGGATCTTCATGCCCTGGGTTCTGCCCACGCAAACCCCCATCTTTGTGACTTCCTGGAGACCCACTTCCTAGACGAGGAGGGGAAACTCATCAAGAAGATGGGCGGTCACCTGACTAACCTTCGCAGGCTGGCCTGTCCCCAAGCTGGGCTGGGTGAATATCTCTTTGAAAGGCTCACCCTCAAGCATGACTAAGAGCCTTTGGAGCCCAGAGGCTTTTGAGGGGGCCCCTCAGCATCCCCCTGATGTTGGCCTTATGCCTGAACCTCTCCCTGCAACCAATAGGCAGCCTTCCAACCATCCTGGAGCCCTCTTACATGCCTTGGACCAAATTGACACAATAAAGATTTTTGCAACAGCAAAAAAAAAAAAAAAAGACAAATGTCTTAGATGCAAGAACTCACCCATTGCTGACCAAACCCTACTCCCCACATTTTGCAAAGAAGCAAAGCAAATACTATCACAAATATTTGTCAGGGACACTTATGTACATGTAGCCAGATAAACATCTCATTACATAAGGAAAAAAAAATAGCTAAAGACTGCCAATCTTTATTCTTAAGTTGAAGTTTTAGTTTTTCTTCTAGAACCCTGAGGTTCTTCCTACTTCTGGGCCTTCACGTGATTTGCTCCCACTTCTTCTGCTCCATTGCCACCTCCTTAGGGAGAACTTCTCTGACCGCTCCCAGTCACCGTTTTCCCTTCCTTCACACTTGTCATTGCATTTTCTTCATTTCTTCCTCACTGCATTTATCACTCCATGTGATTTTATAATGTACTTTTTTGTTTTTTTCTTTTTCAATGTATTTTTCTCTCTCCACTAGAAGAATACAAGTGCTTTAAGGTCAAGATCTTTCTTGTTTACTGCTATATTCCCATTAACCACAAAGAACGTGTGTATATTTGCTGAATGAATTAATAAATGTTGATGCACTACTGTCTCTTAAGCTAGAATTATTTTCATATTCAAACTTTTTATGAAAGTATAATATACATTTAGAAGAGTACACTTATGTATCCTAAATGTACAACGACATGTTGAGTTTCTCAAACGGAACACATTTGTGTAACCAGCACCTAGATCAAAAAAATATAACATTATCAACTACTCTAAAACCCTTCGTGCTTCCTTTCAGTCACTAACCCCCACCAAAGGTAGTTATTATCTTGAATTCTACAGCCTAAATTAGTTTTACCTATTTTTGAACTTTATCTAAATGAAATCATAAGTATATACTTTTTTTGTCTGACTTCTTTCACACAATATGTGAGATTCATATATATTGTTGTACGTAGCTGTAGTTTATTCATTCTCATTGCTATATATTTTTCTACTGTATGAATATACGATAATTTTTTTTTTTTTATCATTAGAATGTGTCATTGATGGCCATGTGGGTAGTTTCCAGGTAGGGACTATTATAGATAGTGCTGCTATGAACATTCCAGGACAAGTTTTGGTGTATAAACACCCACGATTCTTCTGAGCATGTATTTAGAAGTGGAATTGCTAGGTAATAGGGTTTGCTATACATTTACTTTTAATAGACACACCAGTTTTCCCAAGTATTTGTACCAATCTATATTCCTACCAATGGTGTATGAGAATGCTTTTGAGCTATTCATAATTTCAATGATTATATCTTTCTTTTTCCTAAATATTTCTGATTGTTTTTGATAGGCTTTCTCGTTCTTTGTTTTTTTGACTTTCATTTCTTTTATATTTCACACATAAGTATATTATATTCTATATCAGACAATCCAAATATCTGTAGTAGTTAATTGAGTCGAAATTTTTAATTGGTTGTTTCTGCTGATTTTCATATACGGTGGCTTGTTTTCTAGTATGTTTGGTAAGTTTATTTTTTTAATCATGGTCTCATATTTGCCTGATCTTAATTTTGGGAAATTTAAGTAGCCTAGGGTTAAGATGGCTTTTTCCATCTTTAAATTTGCAAAAGTTTCAGATGCCAGAACCAGTTTAATTTAATCTCTTGGCTTAATATTTGCCTGGCTACAAAAGTAGTACAAATTTAAACCCTAAACATTGAGTAGGTCTATGGTAGCAAATTCTCAGGAGATACTTTTGTTTCTCCACTTGGCAGAGAAAGACCAATTTCACTGTCAATTTCCAGCCTCTCTTCTCCATGTGAGTGTGGCTCCTTATAGTGTCCCAAATGAATGTGGGATTCCCGGCTCAGCCTCCTGCGTGGCATAGGCCCCAGACCTAATATTCTTTATCCTGGTATGTGGCATCAGTTCTCAAAGCTCTATTTTACTAGGAACTGCATTTCTCTCCCCTCCCTGACCCAACACAGCCCAGCTTTCTGCATCTACTTACCACTCTGGTTTCAACTCTAATTATTTTCATTTTAACCTTATTACATTTATTACATGGTTGGGTATTACTAGCCTTTGAAAATTTCTCTCCTTGCACATTTATTAATATATTTAAAGCTTTTGTTGTTGTTCAATTTTAATTTAGATGGCTTTTCAAACTATCTACTCTGCCATGCTCCCAAAAGCTTATGTTTGGTTTCTTAATTTAGGAAAAGAAGTATTTCTTCTTCCTTTTCTCTCCCTTCCTCCTCCCTTCTTTTCCCCTGGAGACAGAGGCCTGGCTGGAGGTAAGGAAGGCATGGGAATGAGAGGCAGCAGGGCCAAGGATGTGGCTGCAGGGTGTGGTGGCCAGGAGGCAGTGGTGGAGAGGAGGTGGCTATGAGACCAAGAAGACAGAAACAGCTATGGAACTGAGGACCAAAGAGACAGCTGGCATGATCTAAAGATTGGTGACATGCAGCAGGATTGGACAAATAAATAAATATATTAAAAATAATAGGAGCCAGGTTTTTTACTGTCAGATAAAGGATTAAAAATATAACAAAGGTCTACACCCATGGCACCCTGAACAACTCGATCCCATCTGATCTCGGAAGCTAAGCAGGGTCGGGCCTGGTTAATACCTGGATGGGAGACCACCTAAGAAGACCAGGCGCTATAGGCGTAAAAAAATAATAATAATAAAATGAAAAATAAAAAATGGGGATTGTAAGCTGACAAGGTCTTTGCAATCTGTGAGGTCAACCTAAGGTTGCTTTGCCTAAAAAAAATAAATAAATAAATATAAAAATTCATCGTATTAAAAAATATATATAACAAAGGTTATGGCTAGAAATAACTCTAGGTGTTAGACCGGAATTAGCAATATCAGTGTGAACTCGGGGTTTTTAGAACATTAATGCATGTGTTTATAAATATATATCTATGTCTTAGCTCTGTACAGTAACATAATATAAATAAGTACACCACACACCAAAATCTTACATTAGAAGATACCATCATATATTAGAAGGAACCAGGACTCCTTGAGAAAATATCTAGTTCCAAGAGTGAGACAGGGAAATATGAGATGAACCTGACCAGAATTAAAGGAATGCTTAAAGAACAACAAAAATACTTCAAAGGGAAGGAGAAACTAGCTTGAATAGACTTCCATGGGTCAAATTTGAAATAGTATTAGCAACAAAATGCCAATAGTAACAGATTAAAATCTATTATTGAATAAAATAAATATCTGTGAGTCCACACTGATATAAATGATTAAATGAGAAAGAAGGAAAGGTTGTTTATAATCGAAAGCCAACTAATAATAGAAAGCACCATCTGGCAATCAATAGACTGGTAGTTGATTTAAGCAGAAGTTGTCTTAGAAGTAAGGGCTGGTAGGCGACGGTTTGCTGAGGAACAGGATAAATGGTTATCAATAACAAAAGGAAAAATGATAACTTTGCCGCAGAGAAAACTGAAATACACATCATGATCAAGTGACCAAGGTAACATCATCAGTGATGAGTCAGGTCAACACTGTGTACCTTCAGATCAGATAAACCACAAACAGCACAGCTTTATTTCCACATGCTAAGCCCGGTCATGAGTAAACACTAAGTGGATCTAGACTGTGGGACATACTAACACTGCACTGTCCAGTATTATAGCTACTTGGCCATATGTGGCTATTGAGCACTTGAACTGTGACTAGATCTAACTGTGATATGCTGTTTATATACTGAGTTTCAAAGATTTTGTATGAAAAAAAAGTAATGTAAATGTATAATTTTTTACTAATTATATTGTAAAATTATAACATCATACTACAATGGATTAAATAAGTATATTATTACTATTACTTTCACCTGGTTCTTTTTACTAATGTGGCTATTAAAATAATTTTAAATATATACATGGTTCATGTATTGAGCAATGCAGTTCTGTAGAATGAAAGGCTTATACTGTACTGTTTAAAACTATCGTGTATGTGAAAGACAGAGAAGAACTATTCCAATTGAAGGAGACTAAAGTGACAGGACAATTAAAGACACAATCTGGGTCCATCCAGTTTCCTCACAACTAGAATGAGGCATGTATTCTTTACAATAATACCACAGAAGTAAATGGTTGGTATATATTTGAATGAGAGATGAGAGGAGATAGAGTAAATGCAAGAAATGTTAACGATTGGGAAATCTCGGTGCCTGGGATACAAGAATTTTTTTGTATTCTGTTAACTTTTGTGTGAGTCTGAACTTTTTTCAAAATAAATAATAAATATACCTGTGGGTAAAATGAAAGATAAAGAGGAAGCAACGATGGAACTACAACTCACAAACACTACAACAATAATTATCAATGTCACATCAGTACCAGTGGCTCACCACACACTGTGGCTCAGACAGAAGAAATGATGATTTGTATACAGTTCTTGGAGCAACAGTTAAAATTCCACTCTCTTCCCCCACTCCATTCAAGAAAAAAATCAGGCTGCAAGTAGACAAGATGGATTTGTAGAAAGAACAGCCTTGAATTTGCTTTAATTTATAAAAGAAGCAATGCCAATATAAACTTTGACATTTCATCTAATATTAGTATAATATTGCTCCAAGTATATAACCACTCTACAGATGAGAACTGCTGGCTTAGACTAGTTGTTTCAATGGTAAGATCTTTCATATTTTAAATTTTTTCAAAGAATATCATACAATAGTAATTTCATGAATTTTCATTCAATCTACAGATGAAGTTAGGTTATATATGGAATGTTATAGACTTTATTTATTAGACTGCACATGTCCTAGAGATCTGTAGCCCACATATTGGGAATCACTAGGCAATAAAAACATCTTCAGGATTAGTTTTGTACTGACCCTTTGTTCTGAGCTACTTGAGGTTATTTAGACTCA